AGTGTTTATGTGGTTAATAAAACCTTACTTGTATCACACTTGACGTGGTTCATTGTTTGCTCATAAACTGGAGTCACTTAATCATGCAGATTTATGCTACAAGCTTTTGTAGAATTGTACAGTAAGGAAGTTATTTCCCTTAACCAGGAAATTAATGTTCTTAGAATTGACAAGACCTGAGAGGTCAGCTAAATATCTACAGCGGATCTAAAATATTCATAATTAATTATAACTAGTTATGATTAATTATTCATATTTCCCATGAGCTGATTCATTACAGTGTGAAATATTAACATTTGTTGTTTTTCAGATCAGCTGCTATAGAAGACCAACTGAAATCTGAGTGCAGAGACAAGCAAAGGAATAGTAAGTATATTTTCATGTTGTATCACTGTTATAGAGACTTTTGAATCAGGCCTAATGGAGGGTGATTTGGTCAATCTTGGAAGAAAAACGTTAGTAATGTGTCCTTTCCAGCTGGCTAATTAGTGATTGCTTTCAGTCATTCATGTAAAAATCTGTTATTTAATTTTGTTTCTGTTTTGTTCTTTTCTAAAGCTGCAAGGCTCTGGTGCAAAATATTGTATGCCAGGAGTCAGGACGACTAGGCTGTGCCCAGGTCTCCGGAACCTGCGACGACGCTCAGCTCCATCAGCCCTCCATCTGCGCCTTCGGATCCACCAGCTCTGTCTCCATCGGTCGGCCCCCAGATGTTAGCAGCCACTCCATCTACATCTTGGCTCATCGCTCCCTCGATTCCACCGTGTGTTGGCAGCACTGGGATGCTCTGGGTTTGTGCCATGTGCCAAACACCATCTAAGCTGCCAGGGCATCATCGTCATCCTCCCGTCACCATCCCTTCGCCACATCCTGCCATCATCCCCGCACTTTTGCCTCTCACCATCCCTACGCCATCTCCTTGTCCACCTCCAAAACCCCCTCCATCCCTCCCTATTCTGTTGCTTGAACTTTATCATCTTCAGTCTTTGCACAAACACAGCTATTCACTCATGCACTTAGTTTTTCAGTCTTTTTTATGTTTTTTTTTCTTCAGAAAATTGCATTGTAATTTTTATTTATTCATTGATGTAAAATTCTGTACTTTTTAGTAAGGCCGGTATAACTGAAATGTTCTACAAATTGAAAAGATTGCCCTGGCATAATATTTCAGTCTTTTTATTTGTTTTTTATAATGTATTAAAATGTACTCACGTATGTTTGTAGTAATACAAATATACTATAAACATACTTGTATTTCAAGTGCATTTTTAATACATGTAATAGTATGTTTTGTTTTTCACCAAAGTATACAGTATATACAAGCCTAGCAACCTGGTGGTCATTACTGTGTTTCACTCGCTGAGTGAAATTAAATGTGTAATACTGTACTTTAGTATTCATGTGTGAGGCACACATAACTACATATATGTTTAAACCGGCTTTAACTTACAGTAAACCCGATTTGTTATTCTTTAAACAAGTGCAAGAAGTTTATTGTTAAATTAGAGAAGCACTCACAGAAGTGCTTATTTAATGCAACAAGTCTTGAAGGACTGAAAGCACCACATTTTAAAACTGTGGGCAACTTCTTTGAAATAGGCAGACACTAAACTGCTTGAATTGCACTGGCATGCATTGGTTACCATGACAACAACTTGTCACAGGAAGCGCTAACTCCACATAGCACACTGGTGATGCCATGTTGTGTTGTAAACAAACCACCTTAAGCAGCTAAGATAACATGACTTAGCATAGTTTAAATCTTAGGCTAAGCTACCAAATAGCTTTAACAATTAGGGGTTAGCACTCTTTACTTGAAGCTTTTAAATACAGCATGTGTGTATGCAGTGTGAAGTAATTTAAATTTAACCTAATCCCTGGTTTCGAATGTTTCACTTTCTTTTTCTTCTTCTTGTTCTTTCTCTATGTTTCCCCATCTTCAATTCGTCTCAGCAAATGCAACTACCTTAGATGTATCCTTCCTGAATGCTATTGCTCAGTTACTAATTAATTAAACTTAAATTTAATTACATTTTAACTGTCTATCTAGAGAAGAATCATTAAGTTATTGGGTGTTTTTAGTAACACAGTGAGTAACGCGCTACGGAGGGCGGGGCACACACATGGCTGGCCTCAGCATGGAATAGTTAATTATAACTAGTTATGGTTAGTTATTCATATTTCCTGTCATGAGCTGATTCGTTACAAATATATTGCAAATAGATTAAAATCAAACATAAACATATCTTGAAATAGACTTAATATACTTAAAGTTGTTTCAAAATAATACATTTAATATGCACTTAGTATAGTATAATTTAAATATAGTAAGTATGTCTGAAAAAGCACAATTTAAATATATTTATTTTTCACCTGGGTTGTCAAGTCAAGTCAA